ATAAATAAATAACATTTGTCATTTATAATATGCTTTCTATTTAAATTATTTTACTCAAATAATCATAAGTTCATAACCATTCTAAATGCTATTTATTCAAAAAAAAAAAAAAAATTAGTCAACAAAACCCCCTGATTTGTGAGACTAGATAATAGAATGTTTTTTGAAAACAATATCAGAGTGTTGAAAAGGGAGATTTTTTTTTTTTAATGAATATCTAGTTAATGGAAAAAAAATTTATAAAAACATATAAATAAATAAGATTTGTGCCAACTATCATGTAGTGTGATGGCATCCCGATTATTATTTTAAATGGATGACCAGTTCGCTGCATCTGTGTGTTCAAAATGAATGAACTATATATTCAGAATTAATGAAATATAAATTCAGAATTAGTGAACTATATATCCAGAATTAATGAACTATATATCCAGAATTAGTGAACTATATATCCACGCTGAACATGGTGGAAATCCCGCCGATTAGAGTTAAAAAAAAATGATTGGTGGAGTTAAATGGTGCCACTAACGGCACCGTTACTCCACCATAGTGAAACGGCGTCGTTCGCAACCTTGTGCACCATGCACATCATAACGATTGGTTAACAACAGGTAGGGCCTATTTCTTTTGTTATGCCCCGGGCCTATAAAATAATAGGACCGGCCCTGATGACAACTCGATCATTTGGAATGATAACAGATGTGTCATCACACTATATAGTAGTTGACAATTATATACATAATTTATTTACAAACAATAGAGTAGAACACAACTACACAAGCTATTCAATATATAGTAGTGATACATAACTTAATATATAAGAATACGAGTATGTATAAAATATAAATAGATATTGTTATTTATTAAAAGAATTCTTACAGATGAAAAAGGAGAAAACATTTTAGTCATATCAATCTATAGGTATAGAAAAAACAAAACAGTAGGAAAAAGTAACAAATGACAAAAAAATTTCTTTTTTTATTTTCTTTTGTTTTTTGGTAAAAAAAAAAATAGCAATGTAATAAAAAAAACATTATAAAACTCTAGAAATTTATATATATCTTGATGAGTAAAGTTACCCTTATAGCGCGGTTTGCCCTTCCTCCTCCTCGAGATCCACGCCTAATCCTCGAGATGTACACAAATCATTAACTAGTCCAAAATCAAGCTCCTTCATAAAACCATAAATAAACATGATTTAAACATTAGACTAAAATATATGTCATCCAAAATTTATAACTTCAGATGTTTTTATTTACAATAATTGAAAAATCTGTTTCATATATATTACATAAATATTTATAGGAAGTGTGAAATGAGTGTTATTTAACAGAATATACAATAGGATACAAGCCTAGTGAAAAAATGTACCCTTAGTGGAGGTCTTGCGTTTGTAGTAATATACTGTGATGGAATTATTGGGTTTGGATTAATAACATACTCTGAATCTTCATTCAAAATGAACAACGAAGCCCTAGAATTCAAAACAAAATCCAATATTTTCTGTTACCAACAATTTTATTAATAAAAGTTTGAGTACACATCTCGTGAGATCCTCTGAGTATAGTGGTTGGTTTTGTCATGTTTAATCCAAAACTTTTAAATTGATTATCCATGATCCTCTCACTTTCAAATTGTTACTATTCGTGGTCCAAATTAACTATCAATGATCCTTCAACTATCAAATTTTAACCAGCTATGGTCCTTTTAAGAGGACTAGGGCTGGTTAAATTTTGAAAGTTGAAGAACCATAAGTGGTTACTTGGACCATGGATGGTAACAATTTGAAAGTCAAAGCACTACAGATGATCAATTTGAAAGTTTAGGACTAAATGTGACAAAACCATTATAACAACAACAACAATAATAACAACAACAACAACAACACCAACAACAACAACAACAACAACAATAATAATAATAATAATAATAATAATAATAATAATAATAATAATAATAATAATAATAATAATAATAATAATAATAATAATAAGATAGAGTACCTTTGAGGGGAAACAGATCCAGTCGTTGTAGAGTTAGGACCAAGGTACTGGAACATAAATGGTTGCATTGGGGCTGTGTTAATTTACTGCCCCTATATATATTTCAGATGTGGAGTTTAAATAATTAAAAAAAAAAAAGAAATAAATCAGTAAATAAAATATATATCATCCAACATTGATGACTTCAGATGTTTTTATTGACAATAATTGAAAAATCTATATCATATATGTTACATAAATATTTATTGGAAGTGTCAAATGAGTTATTTAACAGTCATATATACATACAATAGGAGACAAGCCTGGTTGACTATCCATTGGTGGCATTGTTGAATGCTTAAAATATCAAAAATAAAAATAAAAACTGTTAAAAATAATTTTATAAAACTAAGAACAAATAATAATATGAGGCAGGAAAAAAATATACCGTTAGTGAAGGCGTTGCGTTTCTAGTAATGTTACTTGATTCTTCACTCAAAGAGCTCAAGGAAGTCCTGGAATTCAAAACAAAATCCAATATTTTGTGTTACCTACAATTTTACAAAAAAATTGTACATAATAATAATAATAATAATAATAATAATAATAATAATAATAATAATAATAATAATAATAATAATAATAATAATAATAATAAAATAATAATAATAATAATAATAATAATAATAATAATAATAATAATAATAAGAGTACCTTGGAGGGGGAACAGATTCAGTCATTATAGAGTAACGATCAAGGTACTGGAACATAAATGGTCGCATTGGGGTTGTGTTAATTTGCTACCCCTTCATATAATTTAGATGCAGAGTTTAAAAAAAAAAATTAATTTAAAAGAAATAAATTAATAAATAAGTTTATTTAAGAAAAGTAAACAATCTTGGAAGTTATAGGCAACTGCAAAGGATTAATGCCTCCAAATGCAGAGTTAGGCACAACCTGACAACAAAAGACAAATGTTTCAAAATAATTTCTTTAAAAATAGTGATATATATACAATGTTAATTTCTATACATACATACATACCTTTACATTTTGATATTTTAGGAATTTTAAAACTCATATAACATTTTAGTTTTAAGAATTTTATAGTGTATTAAGTTAATATTAAGCATTCAAAAAAAAAGTTAATATTAAATTTTCAAACTATAACTTCTTGAGAGGGTCATCATCTTAATTATTAATTTTACATATATACAATATTATGAATATATGAACTTTCTCAAATTCATCTTGAGGGGGTCTAAATTGTATAAGTGTTTTATTTGAACTTGTATCTAATTAGACAATAGGCTTAATAATAGATTTTTTTTTTTAAAAGAAAAAAGGTTTAATAGATGTTGTTCACTATCCAAGACATTATCGTTAATAAACCTAGGTGTTTTGCTGTAGATACTTGATTACTATATTAAATGGGTTCTATCATATATAATTGGAAAATTGCAGAATCCTAACTATCCATTCAGTCTCCATAGCCTATCATTGTCTGCTACATTAGAAAGTAATAGCGAGCGAGTAAATTTAGGAGTACATTTAGTAAAACTCGAAATGTTTTTGTCTATTTTTTGAATAATAAAGGAAAGGATTAATTTCTACAACGCCCTTAAATTGTCCTTCCATTTTTTTTGTCCTTTTTTTCGGTAGATAGGATGAGAACGTAATTCAGTGTATTATTGATAATAGGAACAGAAAAGATATAAAATACAAGATGAGTCCTATACAGAATAATAGATAGAAACTATTGCCTCTAAGAAATTACTAATTTATTATTGTCAAGACCTATTACATCAGTAGATAGAAAAGTATGTGGATAGAAATCATATTTCAATTCACAAACCCTCAATTTCTTTCTAATGATAACATAATTATGAAGTTTACCCATTTAGTTTTAAACCAAAATTCAAGTAATTATATCTAATTGAGTGAAATCTTTCAATTGATAAATTTTGCAACCATATAATGCTTGATCAACACATGTCCAATTTAGTCATTTTTAGTGATTACACATCCCATGTTGAATCATGATAGCATCAAGCACAAAACGATATATGAAAGATTTTGTCATCATATAAAAGAATGATCGCAGATTAACCTTCTTAGATGTGTTTTAAAAAAAATAAATCATATAAAAAAAATGACTACAGATTAACCTCCTTAGATGCATGTGTCAAAAAAAGAAAAACAAGAATACAAGTAGATCCAAAAATTTTGTTTAACATCAATCTTATCAATTATATATTGTAAACCCTAACCACCTAATAACCCAAGTTACACAAAAGAAAATTATAGAAATTAATTTTACTTAGATATAACATAAATATTCTTAGCATAAGCATATATTACAATTGAAATCAAACCTCATCATCAAGAGATCAAGGATAAAAAAATATTTATATAAAGAGAAAAAAAAAAACATATATACCTTGATGATTCTGATTCGGATGTTGGATGTAAGTTGATAGCATTCGACTGATCAGACATTGGTAAAGCTTGTTGAAATTGACGAGGCTCAAAGGAATGTGAATGCCAAACGCTCTACACAAATTTATCATTATTTTTTTAAAAAAGTATTAAATAAACATAAAGCATCATAAATTCAAATAGAGAAAAGGTGAACAATTAATATAAAAGTGAATAAAGATTAAAGCAACATACTTGGAAAGATGAGGGCGGAGTTAATTGATGTCTGTCCCACTATCTTCATTATTAGACACCAAACGTCCCCTGGCAACAAGTGATGATGGTAGAACAAGTAATTTTTTTTTTCATTTAATAGAAAGAAATATATTCTATATGAATCGAAAATTTCATAGCGCTCTTGGAGAAATCATACAATTTTTTTTTTTATATTTGTATAAAAACAAAAGTTACAACTTGACAAAGTACAAAATTAAGCGCTATAAATATCAGAAAAAAAAAATTTATGAAATTTTGGACAAATAACTTTTGTTTAAAAAACTAAGTCTATGAAAATCAGGTAAAGAGAAAAATATCAGATACCATGAAGGTGTAGAAGACGACGCCATTAGAATGTCCAGTGATTTGAACAGAAAGCGCGGAGCTAATTCTCGTAATTATTTAATTATAATGAAGTTGACATGGCCCCATTTATAGAATATCGCTTTGGAAAAAAATTAATTAGAAAGAATATTAGAATGTTATTATTTTAATGGGATAAATTTTCACACATTTTACATTTATGTCGTTGCGTTAGAAATGGAAATTTAGACAATTTTGAATGAAATAATTTATAATATTTTTTTTTTGCATATTGCATTTAAGAAAGAATAATAACTCGATAAAGCAATTTATGTAAAAAATGTAAAAAAATATAAATAATAACGGGATTCAATTTTTTAGAAAATATCTCTGCAGGTCCACGGTACAAAATGTTGTGCGTTGGCTGGTTAGTCGAGTTCAGCCCCTACTTGATTCGATACGTGATGATGTGGCTTACCATGGAGGGATGTGGTTAAATGGTTAATGTCTACCTATTTATCACCAATTGGTTTTAAGTAGGATATAGCAACTAGATAGCCAAAGAACTTTGTGGTTAAGCGTGCTTGACTTACAGCGGTCACATGATGGGTGACCTCCTGAGAAGTAAGTATAGTGCTGTCCCATATGGGATATGGGTGTTGGTCGGTCCAAGTCCAGTCCTAGAAAGGGGAATAGTGGGTGCGAAGGCTAAAGACCGAGTCAGGCATGCTGGACAACTGGGCTTGGTGTTCAAAGTTTGCGGCAGGTGCTGGGAGGAGAATTGTTGGGCGTCAGCCGGGTTGGTCGAGTTCAACCCATACTCGATTCGATACGTGGCGTTGTTGCTTACCATTAAGGGATGTGATTAAATGGTTAATGTCCACCTACTTATCACCAATTGGTTTTAATTAGGATATGACAACCACTGAGATCCATCACAAAATAAGGGAAATTCAAGTCGTGTGTGTAGTAACACACTTTTTTAAAAAACCGATTCAATACCTCCCGAGGGTGTTAGAAGCGATGTAGCGTCAGTCTCCCAGGATAAAATGCATCACAACACTATTTTTGAGGACTAAAAAATAATACTATGAACGAACATGAACAACAGGTGTACACTTCGTAAATTTATTCCAAAGTGTTGACAAAAACATTTCAAGGAAGAGAGAAGGATTTTCTTGAGAGAGGGAGAGGGAGAGGGAGAGAGAGAGAGAGAGAGAGAGGAGAATCAAAGTTTTCATATTCTAAAATCAACACTCAAAACAGTTTGCCAAAACCAAGGTATTTAACATCTTATTCAAAATTAGATTTGTAACCTCCATAACAGACATATTTAATCTGGAAATTAACACATTAGTTACAAATGTTAATTCTTAAATTTAAAATTGAAATTAACTCAAAATTGATTTCTATGGATCATAATTAACGTGTTCTAGAATGGTATGCCAAAAGGTGAAACTTGAAGATTACATATCGAGAAGTTCATAGAGGGGAAGTCCGCACCGTTCAATCATGCACCAAGACGTGCTCACCGAAATGGTGATTACTTTTCAATAAAGCACCTCGTAGTGCTTAAGAAAGTGCTACTGTTTGGTGCTTAACATAGCACCATTTAGTGCTTAACATACATAGCACATTTTGGTGTTCAATTACATACCACCTTTTGGTTCTCAATTACATATCACCGTTCGGTACTTATTTATAAAGCATCGTTTAGTGCTTAATTAAAGCACTTGCTTACAAAGCACCGCAATGTACATTCGACTTATCAAATGGTTCTACTTTGTGAATCAATTTCGAATTCTCATTCACTCATGATCTATTTTAAGCATACAATATATCAACTTTTTCGTCTCACTTAGGAGAACTTGGATCCACTTTTATCCGTCCAAAATAAAAAGTGGTTCCCACATATATTTATACTACAAAATAGACACATACAATGCCATTTTTGCTAAAAATTACCAAGAATCTCTCACATGAATGGAAACTGATTTTTCGGGATTGAAAAACATTACGCCTATGTTTAATAATTCATCCCTACATAGGAAAGGTACGTGTCATCCTTTGAACTTTCCCTTGTAAAGATACATTTACTCTACTAGCTGCTCAGTAGAACACGATATTTTTGAACTGTACTACTGTTTGTGTAGACGATGATATATTCACATAGGAACATTCCTGATGGATTTAATTCCCTAGGGTAGACCCGAATCACTAAACCCAATAAATAATAAATAGGAAAAAGGCAATGAATGTATATGCCGTGGGGACAACTGTTGTATTAATAATCTCTTGTAGGGGAATTACAAGGAGTGTAATAGTGAGATAAAGTGTAGATCCCCTAACAAGACAAGGAGATGTCTTTTTATACTAAATAATCCTCCCAACCGACCCCAAGAAAATAGGGCGGGCGGTTGGATCTTAGTTGACCGAGTCACGCGACGACGCCCCGCGTGACCGCCTAATCTCAGCTGGCCGAGGCCAACCCCAACCGGGGTCGACCACGAGGTCGACCCCGGCCGAGGTTGACTCTGACCTTGGCCGCCACTGAGGTCATCCCCAACTGGGGTCCACGGAGTAGACCTCAGCCGAGGTTTACGCCGGGGACCCAGTTGGAGTCTCCCAGGCCCTTCGCATCACGCCGCGACCCCCGGGTCGATTTGCCCAAGTCCCTTCTCCTAATATATCCATCATGAGTCCCCCACTCTCTGAGTTGCGAGTCTTCTTCAACGAAAGAGAGTAGCTCGAGTGGAAGGTTGACCCCAAGCCCACGGGAAGACGTCCGCCCCGCCTCCTTCCTCTTTGGCCGACTTTGGTGTGATTCCATCGCGGTAGGGACTCATTCTCTTCCGCAAGAACACTAACAAGTCTTGGACTCCTTCGCATCGTGTACGAGACATTGATTTCTGAGTTCACTTTTGGGCGAGCTCAAGAGGTAGCCATCATCCTCTTGGGCGAGCTCATGATGTAGCCCCCTTGATGCGTCCTCCTCTTAGGCGTCCTCCTCTTGGGCGAGCTCATGAGGTAGCCGTCCTCCTCTTTGGCGTACTCCTCTTGGGCGTCCTCCTCTTGGGCGAGCTCATGAGGTAGCCCCCTTGCTGCGTCCTCCTCTTGGGCGAGCTCATGAGGTGGCCCCCATGATGCGTCCTCTTCTTGGGCGAGCTCATGAGCTATCCTCCTTGTTAGAATGAATCGGGCTCTAGGCCACACTTAGCCGAGGCTAACCCAGTCGAGGTCACCTCTAGGCGGGACAATCCCAGCTAAGGTCGCCTTAGGAGGGCTAAGCTCGAGTCCCCATGCGCCCTCCTTGGCCGTGTTTGACTTCAGTTGATGAATATCCTCATTGCCTCGGCCCATACCCGGAGTTTGGGCTCTACTTAGAGGTTAGACCTCTTGCCATGGACTAGCTTTAGTAGTTTTTTTGGGTAGGTGTAGTTGTTTGGTTAAGGTACCCCCTTGGTCCAAAAACTCTTCCATCGGGTGGCGAACGAGGTCGGGCCTCGTGCCCACTTAGGGTAGCCCGTCGGCCCCAAGTCACCGGACTTGGTCCGTTAAGCTCTTCCGTCGGAGTGGGTACGCGAGGTCGGGCCTCGTGCCCCCTTAGGGTAAGCCCGTCGGGTCCAAGTCACCGGACTTGGCCTGTTAATCTCTTCCGTTGGGGTTGGTACGCGAGGTCGGGCCTCGTGCCTCCTTAGGGTAAGCCCGTCGGCCCCAAGTCACCGGACTTGGGTCGTTAAGCTCTTCCGTCGGGGTTGGTACGCGAGGTTAGGCTTCATGCCCCCTTAGGGTAAGCTCGTCGGCCCCAAGTCATGGGACTTGGGCCGTTAAGCTCTTCCGTCGGGGTTGGTACGCGAGGTCAGGGCCTCGTGCCCCCTTAGGGTAAGCCCGTCGACCCCAAGTCACCGGACTTGGGTCGTTAAGCTCTTCCGTCTGGGTTGGTACGCGAGGTCGGGCCTCGTGCCCCCTTAGGGTAGCCTGTCGGCCCTAAGTTTCCAGACTTGGGCCGTTAGGCCCTTCCGTCAGGTAGCCAACGAATTTTTACTGCTTTTAGGGTAGTTGAAGAGGTTGGATGGGTACCCTCCACCCCTAGTAGTGAAATTGAGTCTGCGACGAATTTTTACTGCTTTTATCAATGTTAAGGGGACGAACCACCTTACAAGATAGAAATACTTGAAGTAATCGAGCGGGTGCTCGGAGTTCCGTACTCTATCTATCATCTCTCTTTTTGGCGTCTTGAGCTTGTAGCTGCCAATACGGACCACAACTGCTACCACGTACGGGCCTTCCCACCTCTTTGCAAACGTGCCCCCCTCCTGGGGCTGGCTAGCCTCACGCCTTCAAGCGTGGTCGCCGACCTGGGAGTAACGAGGTCGGACACGTGTGTCGCGGTAGGCCTTAGCTTGGTGTTGGTAATTCTCGATGAGGAGGTCTGGTTGACTATCTATTGGTGGCATGGTTGAATGCTTAAAATATCAAAAATAAAAATAAAAACTGTTAAAAATAATTTTATAAAACTAAGAACAAATAATAATATGAAGCAGGAAAAATATATACCGTCAGTGGAGGCGTTGCATTTCTAGTAACGTTACTTGATTCTTCACTCAAAGAGGTCAACGAAGTCCTGGAATTCAAAACAAAATCCAATATTTTCTGTTACCTACAATTTTACTAAAAATTTGTACATAATAATAATAATAATAATAATAATAATAATAATAATAATAATAATAATAATAATAATAATAATAATAATAATAATAGTAATAACAACAACAACAACAACAACAACAATAATAATAATAATAATAATAATAATAATAATAATAATAATAATAATAATAATAATAATAATAATAATAATAATAATAATAATAATAATAAGATAGAGTACCTTGGAGGGGGAACAGATCCCGTCATTATAGAGTAACGATCAGGATACTGGAACATAAATGGTCGCATTGGGGTTGTGTTAATTTGCTGCCCCTACATATAATTCAGATGCAGAGTTTAAAAAATTTAATTTAAAAGAAATAAATCAATAAATAAATTTATTTAAGAAAAGCAAACAACCTGGGAAGTTATAGGCA